AGAACCTTGATTAGTATAAAACTGTGCGCGAATCGCCTCTTGTTCCAGTTCAGCCACTGATTAAGTCTTTCAAACGCGACCCATGCCCGACAACTCTTAACTAAATACTCGCACACACACACATACACGGACCCACCCGCAGGGCAATTGCAATCAAGTCAGCTTACAGTTAGTTTACTTTTACCTTCAATAAGCGGAGACTGAAAGACCAAATGCCAAGTACACAAAGGGGAGAATAATTTGCAAGCTACAGGCTAAGAAAGGCGAACTGTGGCAATAAGTGAACGGAAAAAAAAAACGTTTAAGGAAAAAAGAAAAATAAACGGGAAAATAGAACGAAAAATGACAGCACGCGCCGCTTTACCATTTTGCCAGTTAGCAGTTAAAAAGTTTTGTATTACGTGCAAAATGAGCGCACGCTTAAATTTATTTGCATGCGAATGCAGAGAAATGAGAGAAATGGCAGAAATGGAAGAAATAGGAGTTAGCCAAGCAGCAGCAGCAGGCGAAGGTTAAAGAAGCTTTGTTAAGAGCAGAGAAAAGAAATAAACAAGAAAATGCGAAATGGCATTTGTTTTGCAATTTTGACTTGTATTTTGACCCATATTTCATTGCATTCAGCGCGCGTCGAGATAAAGACGAAGTCCGCCAAAATGTTTACAAGCAGAAGATGCCGAGACGCAAGATGTGTCCTGATAATGATCCCAACAACAAGAATAGCAACAGCGACTTTATCATTGCCATCATCATCATCATCATTAGCAACACATCATCATTTGCCATCGATGTCTCGTCTCGTCTCGATTCGACTCATTTCACCGCCCCGCCCCGCCCTCCCACTCTATATATATATATGTATGTACATACCCGGCACATAACGTATACGCCACGTTGCCTGCCTGTCATTTTGGGCTACAGCACAAATGTGTAACACTTTGTGTGCTGTCATGCCAGCCCTTCGTCTATATGTGTGTGTGTGTGTGTGTTTGTTGTTTAGGCTGTTCCAGGGGTTACTATAACAAATCTATGTGGCTTGTAACGCAGCTGAGTAAATAGAATTCTAATGTCCTACCATTCAATGTGTGCACTCATGTCTGTTAATCTTTCAAATACAACTTCAACTAACTCTTTAAATTTCAATTGGAATTGTTGTCTTCAATTTATATTAAATAGTCTTAACTTTACAATAAATTGATGTCAAATATATTGATGTATTAAAACAAATTTTACATTATGTTATGGAAAATATAAAATTTTCCATTTTTTTCATAGAGTAAGGTAAAGTATTTATAAAGTATGCATTTTAAGATAAGTTAAACTAAACTTTATAAAATTAAATTTTATATATAAATTCTATATATAAAAAAATAGATATAATGATATATTCAAAATATTTAAAAAACTAAGAAAAATGTTATGTAATTTTCAATTTTCATGCTTTTTATTATATAACTTTTATATTGACTGGTAATATTATAAACTAAACACTTAGTGCAAACTAAGAGTAACTAAAACTTCGAGAGAAGACAGATCGAAAATTTCTTCCTGCTGCCTCTACTACTATATGTGAGTTAGGACTAAGTGTGTATGGGTTTGGGGTGCATCTGTCTGTCTGAACAACATATTTCATGGCTTAGGTAGATATTTTTTAGCTAGTCAGCGCAAAAAGTAACGAAAAATAAAATAAATGAATATGCGCCACGCACAGGCATCCAAAATACACACACACACATTCCCAACACACACACACACACACACACACACACACACACACACACACACACACACACACACACACACACACACACACACACACACACACACACACACACACACACACACACACACACACACACACACACACACACACACACACACACACACACACACACACACACACACACACACACACACACACACACACACACACACACACACACACACACACACACACACACACACACACACACACACACACACACACACACACACACACACACACACACACACACACACACACACACACACACACACACACACACGTACAACCTTATGCATCTGTTTCGCTCACACCGCAGCATTCTGTCAGCCATTTTTCGCCATGGTTTGCTGTCCTTTGCGGCACTCGCATAGCTGAACGTGTGCACTGCATTTGTTTTACATTTTATTATGCTACTTTAAAATGCCAAACAACAACTGACAACAATAACAATGACTTCACAAGGAAAATGGAAAATGGGACAACATTTTCAAGTTTCTTTTAATTCCTTATTTTGTGCTCAGCAAACTTTCTTATATAAAAAATTTGAAGGGCAACTGTCAAGAGATGACAAAAAAAAATTGAAAGAAGTAGAAACTGTTGTCCATAATTGAATCGAATTAATATTGTCGTAATGTCATGTCAATACTTTTCATTTTCGTTGTCACATTGAAAAGTTGAGAGAATATTTGGGTCAAAGCGCCTGTCAAATGGCTTAGGTCACTTTACCAAAAAGTTAGATAATTAAATTTGGCTTGCTTTTTATACAAAATTACAAGGATTTGTCTGAAATTACATACCTTTTTAATAAAATTTAATTATTTATGCATTTGTAGTGATAAAAAGTGCAAGCTGACAGCTTTGTCTCAAGAAACTCTTCTTAGCTGTATATAAAAAAATATATAAAATATATATAAAATACTATACTATATAAAATATTATATATATATTATATATATATTATATATCTTATATATATAAAATACTATATATACTTCAATTATATACACGATCCATTCAATAACTAACCCGATTTTCTTTATTTTTTAATTTATTTATTTTCCATAAATCTCAAGACGCCTATCAAATCCTTTATCAATGGTTTATCTTTTGAAAACCCAAAATTTTAAAAGCAAAAGTGCGTAGTTCCCCTTTTCTTATTTATTGTTCAGACATTTTCTAACGCACCCATGTCAGCATTTGCAATCCTTCGTTCATTTTGGGCATGCCAATAATTTTTAAGCACACAATTTATTTGCCCTGCCAAAGGAACGCGCTAATGTTGAACAAGGCGCGCGCACACAGACACACACATGCACAGTGTTATGACATTATGTTTATGAAGCGAACGTACACACAAGGCCAAATAACAATTCACACTCACGCACATGCACAGGCTATGTAAAAAAAACTTGCACGGCGTTCAACGTCGCGTATACTTGATATTTAATTCAATCTGGGCGTAGATTTTCATTTTTTGCCGCCTGCACAACGCGACGTGCTCTTTAAATTAACACAAACAAACATTGTCAGCAGCAATGGCAACGGCAACGCAGCCAACAACAACAGCAACAAAAACGAGTCACTTGACAATTACAGACTCAATGACAGTCACAGCCAGCAAATTTATTTGCATTTTAGCCCAGCCTCTGCTGCTATTGCCCTTTCAGTCTCTCAGTCTCTCCCCTTGTGCTCCCACTCTGCCCACACACACTTTTTGCTGAATATAACACCCTTTCAATGGGGCAATATTACGATTTAGTAAGAGTTTGTACGCAACATAAGGGAAGAGAATTTGTTGCCACTTAAATTTAAATTAAAATGAAATTAATATAAGCGAAATAAAAGGTCGAAAGTAAATATGTATGGCTTCATTAATTAAAACGGACTGAAAGGGTTAAGTTCTGAACACATATGCAAAAGGCTGAAGAGTATATATCGGCATGAAAAAATAGGGGATATAGCAGGATACACTAGACTTTTGCTTAATTTAATTTCATTTGATACTTAAATATGATACAAAGTATAGTCAATAAAAGAAAAAATAAAGTAAAAATTTTTTTATTAAAAAATTGTGAACAATTGCGTTACATTCACCTCTTTTGCAATTGAACACAGCTATGTTCTATATATAAATATTTATATACTGCTACAATAGTAAAATACGTTCTTACAAAAAATAATTCATTTTAAAGAGCTCAGCTAGCTAAATAAGCCTAGATTAAGCCTAGATTAAGTACCGGGGTAACAATGAAAACTAAAAAAACAAAGAATATATGCATGTTTGTATTTTTCAAAATAAAATAAACTAAAATAAAATAAACAAAAATAAAATAAACTAAATAAAGTACACATTTTGGCAACTAATGAGAGGTTTTATTTTGTATACCAGTTAATCGTTTTGAAAGTTAGATATAAACTTTGAGCTTATTTAAAAAATATTAAAAATTTCATCCGATCTAAAGCGTATTCAAACTTTTTAACTCATACCACAAGTTTTACTTCCAACATGTTTGTGTATGCATATATGTGGTGTGCGTGTGTACCATCCACCCACTCATACTCACATACACTCACACACACACGCACACACTCATGCGCGTCGTATAAAGAGAATCGTAATAAAGGCAGCCCACTAGCTCATGCACGTCTGATTAAACGCAAAAAATACGCGAGCAAGCGGCAGTCAACCAAAGCCAAACAGCCATGCTTATTAACACAGATACACACAGACACAGGGCATACACTACCAGCCATCCGCCCAGCCCTGTTAGGCTCGAGCCTCGCCTCAATTAGCCTTATTTGTGTTTAAATTGCATTAGAGCCGCGCCAGAACAACAAAAGCCACAACAACATCAACAACAAGAACAACAACAACAAAATAAAAGAAAATTGCACGAACAAAAATTGACGCATTTGAGGGTAAAGCCAGGCACTAAGCCGGCATCGTCTGCGTATTTATCGATAATTTCTTATCGCAGCCGCAGCTTAAACATATTTGTTTAACTAAGACCCAAATAAACCCCATCTCTCTCCCCCATCATACCCCTCGCCCACATCGAAAAGCAACCCGAAACAGCAATCGCAGCCATTTACAAATGTCAGCAGAGCTTTTAACCAATCTATATTCCAATGTTGACTTATAAATATATCCCATTGATATTTGTTTGGGCTTAGCCCCACCCAGACATATGTGACTGTATGCATATATGATAGAAATGTGTGTTAAGTATTTACTCACACTTTTGATTTCGTTCATTTTGGTAAATTGGCGACCAAACTCCCATAAATCAACGCCAAATTTAAGAGCCCAGTTGCGCACTCTGCAAAGAAGATGATACAAAAAAATAGTTCATTTAGTTGGATTAGTAAAATTAATTAATGGAATAATTAATTGCTTAAAGAATATTGTACGACGGATTTTTTAAATTCAATTTGCATATAATTCTATTTTATATATGTGTTTTAATAACATGTATAAAATTGTTTAATCGTATTCTAATGATCTTAAGTATGTAAGTATGTATGTAAGTATGCGATTTTATATGTGATAAAAAGACATTTGGCCTAGGTCGGAGAACCTATTGCAAACTCAAAGTTTAAAAACTATTCCTAAACCTAAAGAATATACCATTTTGTATTATATTTATTTTTTTAATATTTTTAAGTGCAGTATTTAGACATATACTGATATTACAAATAATTGGGTTTAATTTATATAAAAAAAAGACTATATATGATATATATAATAATAAATTATATTTTTCAACTAACATATATTACTGTTTACAGGCTGTTAAATATTTAATATTTTTCACAAATATTTATCTCTTTTGCTTCTTCGAATTATTCGAACTGACTTTCAAGATATAGTGTATATTTTCAACTCTTTCTCCTTCGCTCATTAACTCTCCCAAGGGTATAAAATTTGATCTATTTTTATAACCATAAATATTTTACTAGCAATACGGCTTGGCCGTATTAAGTTAACTTTTTATACCCTTGCCGAGGGTAGTATTGTTCTGTAGTCAGCTGTATCGTAGAGTATATTCAGTAAATATATGGTCAAAGGTCGAGATGCATACAAATTTATTATTTAAACTTCGTCTTAGCCATTGATGTATTTTTGCATAGATCTTAACTCTAATCAAGGAATTACAACTTTTCTCTTCTTAAAAATGTATTATTTATCCAGAAATACTGGAAATAAAAATATATAAAATAATATCTTTTTAAAATAAAATCTTTTTATAAAAAGTTTCTTTTATAAAGCAACAATACTTGCAATAATTTACGATAGTTAATAAATGTCGTAGCAATAGATTACACATCTGTCAAACGAGCCATCATTTAAATATGTCTCTGTAAGGGTATCAAAACTTCGGCAAGCCAATGAAGATGTTTTCTCTCTTTTTTTAGAGCTCGTTTTAACTCCACAAAATGAGCTGAAATACACTTCTGAGCCATTTAAGTTGTCTTTTCTTGTGACCAACTCTTTTTAACCTTATACTCCGCATCGGATTGGATTCGCTTTGCCTTGTCTGTCCTTCTCTCCACATTCTCTCTCTCTGTCTCCGTCTCTCCCTTTCTCTTTCTGTGACTATTTTACGCTCATTTCGACGCTGCATTGCTCATTAGCCGCGTTCGCCTGGTCGCCCGCATTTGCAATTTCTGACCATTATGGCCATTATCCAATTTCAATCACTTGTTCGCCACTTTATATTGCTTCATTGTTTACGCTTCATTCCCTTTTCCCATGCAACGCGCACAGTGGTGCCAACCAGGAATCAACGAACCGCCCCCCACTCGACGCGCCACAGTTCGAACAACTTTTGTCGCTGCTCTGACGCTGCCATAATACAATTTTCATATAATTTAAATCATTTTGGGCAACGTCGCTGGCCATAAAACTTTGTCTGCCTTTTGTGGGCTGATTGGGTGTTGCCCCCCCCCCCCCCCTTCCGGCCCGCCTACTGTCTCATTCCTGCTGCAGTTGGCTGGCTCTTCTGTGGCGTCGAGTGCATATAAACATGCGCTTATTTTGTATCTAGATAACAGCCAAAACGATGGCAACTGCCGTAGCTCGCTCTGCCCGGGCTCAACATAATCAACATTGCGTATACGCAGCGTTGTGTCGGATGCTGCTTTTACTCTGATACAGCTCCTCTTCGAGCTCTTATTATACAATTGCAGGGTATCTTATGAGTTTGTTAACAAAACTTGGACGGCTATATCATATAGCTGCCGTTGGACTAATCAGGAGAATATGTAGTCTCTTGGCATTTACTTCCCCTTCAATATGTTTCTGATATGTGAGCAATATGTTAACATTACCAGAATACGATATCATATAGCTTTCATTGGAACAATCGTTATTTAAAAATTACTAACTTTATAATATATCCAACACTTCAAAAAAAAAACTATGACAAATGGCTGCTATTTTAATTCTTTACTACTATATCTTATAGCTTCCTTAGAAACATTCAGTTATGATTGATAATGAAAGGCTTTAGTTTGTTTCCGAGATCAATCAAACTAAACAAACTTGCCAATTACATTTATTTTTAAGTTTTTATCGATCGAATAATAAAAAATTGCTTAATGAATAACCTTCTTCTAGCCTGCCCTATGGCTGTAAGGGTACTTATTATTCGGCAGCGTCTTGAATAATATTTTGCCTTCTTGCTGCTATTGATAATGCAGATAATGCCATAAAATTGTGCAAATATTTTTGGAAAGCACTAGGAAAGTATTTTGCATGCTCTTGGCTCCTGTTCTCCATTCTATTTTTTTTTTTTTTTGTTGTTGTCATTTTTATAAAATAATATTTCATTTTGGCTTTATCAACGACTCGACGGGCGCGGTGAGGTTTTCGTTTCGGGTGGGCTTGCAGGGTGTGTTTTTCTTTGATACTTATTCAATTTGCTGTTGCCGCTGCTGTTTCTTGTCTTTATCTTTATCTGCTGGCTACCGTTTGTTGTATGAGCTTTACTCTGAGTGTTGATTTTGTTTTGCTTTTGACTTTCGCGTTTAGATTATAAATGTTTGGCAAATGTTTTCACAGTGTCTGCGTGTGTGTGTGTAGTCCTTGTTGTTGTTATTCTAGCTGCTGTCCTGCTGTCCTATTATCCTGCCTACCCAGACTGCTGACTGTATCTGCAAGTCTACTTATATCTCTCTTGTCTCGAGCTTGTAATGAGTTTGCCTGGGCTCAACTGAGCTCAAGTTGGGTCTGTAATTCGTCCTGCTCCTCCCCTTGTTCTAATATCACCCTTAGACATTCTGCGTGCATATAAAAAATATTTGCACATACATATAAGTATATGTAAATAAAATATATGTACTTTATATAATCCAAGTATTTGCATACGCATAATGACCATATATGTATGTGCCACGTTTTATATGGGCACCAAATGCAAACGTTAATGAAATATTAAATGCAATATATGTTTGTCATTAAATCGATCTTAATTGATTTTTAATTGCTTCCCTATAAAGAGTTAAAAAGTGCCCTTAAATGTGAAATTTAAAACTGTTTCGAACCATTCAACTTTATATTAAAGCTTTAAATCTCTTAAGAATCCGATAAAGAATCTTGTCAAAAAGTATAATGCTGCAATTTAAAGTATATTTTTAGGTGCAAAAATTATATATATAATAATTTTACATTGAATTGATATATTTTATTTTTTTAACTAAATGCTGAACTGCTGAATTTTCTAAGATTTCCAGATATTATAGGTTCTGAGATCGTCGCATACGGACAGACAGACGGACAGGTTATAATAAAAAGCAAAATAGTTACAATTAACAACTATGCACATCCTATTTATAATTCCCTAAATAATATAAGTTCCCTCCAGGTAGGCTATTTTTTGTTTAAATGTTCCGAATTCTATTTGAAAAATTCTTTTTGCCTAGTATTGCGCATAAAGATAAGACATGTTCTAGAGATTGTTGTCTCTGAAAATGTTGAAAAAAAACTCATGTCGATTTCAATGATGCAAGCCGCAAACTGCAAACCCATTGACCTACTCTACCTGGACTGAATGGAACGGAACGGCGCATAAACTTGGCAAAAAGTGAAAACCTGACCCAAGGAAAGGTAGTTCGATGGCATTACGTGTATGCCACTTGAGCATGACATACGTGAGTCGTGCTCAAAAGGCAAAGACGCACAAGAAAATGCAAAACACCAACTGAGCTGGTGAGCAGGTGAGGCATCAGTGGAACTAACAGAAGATGTGGCTGTGGCTATGGCAGTGCCTGTACCTGATATGCTGTCATGTAGCCAACAAAAATTCGGGTAAGCCCCTCGGCCGGCTCCTCACGTAGTTTTAGCCATTGTCAAGTTTTGTCGTGCACAAACTGCCAAAATGTGCAAAACAAAATGCGCCTTTTTATTTCCAGGCCATGAGAGAGGAAAAAGTCTTTTGGTCTTTGGACCATATGCAGGCCAAGAGCCCAAAGATGACGTTGATGGCCTTTCATTGGTGCTTGCGGTCTTCATGTCGATGTTTTTTGTGGTTTCTTTCACTTTGATTTTATGCGTGTGTGTGTGTGTGTGAATGTGTGTGTCTTTGCCTTTTGTCTGTGCTACCTACGTGAGTTGCATTTACGTTTTTTAAATTTTATTCGGTTTTTTTTTTTTATAGTGAGTGCCACTCGCTGTGGCTTTGTTGAGCTCGTCTTAAGCTACAAAATGCTATAATCCAATGTTCACAGTATACGTAGATGTCACAAAAAAGCTACAAAGCTGCCAGAAACTTTGTGCAAAAGTTCGCTTTTCGCTCACGTAGACAATTAACACGGCGTATACTTGATAATCGAAAGTCAAAATACCAAGAAAGAAACATTACTAGAAAACTTTCTGAAACAAGACTTAAAGTTGCCCTTTATTTTTGCACATTCATTGCTTTACAAAAGAATCTGCATATGCCCTATTGAAAGGCTGTTTTTTCATCACAAATGAATTTACCACTTAAAAAGAACATTACACGAAATTTATCGCTTTTAGGGTTCTGTTGGCGTTTCTCAGTTAACCAGAGACGAATAGCATTACATTAAAATTAACATTATGCTTACAAATATTAACATGACCTTTCCTGCAACAGAGTCTGTTAAGTAACACATGGCTGAGAATGATATAATAAAAATTGCCACAATAGTCTAGGTTTGTTTAAGTTTTCCTTTGTTATTTGAGTAGTACGTATTCTGAACGAACTCCAATGTTTTCTATACACTTATTTTTTAATTACTTGCGCCTACAAGGAAATTTAATTTGATTTTAAACTGTTTTCCACAAATTCGTGTCATT